GAGAGAGGGGGAGGCGGATAGAAGATGGACAGAGGAGAAGATAGGTGGAGAGGAAACAGACAGGTCGAAGAGGCGGGGATGGAGCCAGTAAAGGTGAGTGTAGGTGGGGAGTTAGTGAGGGGATAGGTCAGTCCAGGGAGGACGGACAGGTCAAGGGGGTGGGATGAGGTTAGTAGGTAGGAAATGGGGGTGCGGCTTGAGGTGGGAGGAGGGGATAGGTGGAAGGAAGAAAAATTTCAAGGACCGCAACTTCCCCCCCTCAGTGGTCGAGAACGCCCTCAACCGTGTCTCCCACATTTCCCGCAACTCAACCCTCACACCCCGTCCCCGCAATAACAACCAAAAAAGAATCCCCCTCGTCCTCACGTACCACCCCACCAACCTCTGGATCCAACGCATCATCCTCCAACACTTCCGCCATCTGCAATCTGACCCCACCACCTAAGACATCTTTCCCTCCCCACCCTTATCTGCTTACCGGAGGGACCACTCTCTCCGTGACTGCCTTGTCTGCTCCACACTCCCCTCCAGCCCCACCACATCCGGCACTTTTCCCTGCAACCGCAGGAAGTGCTACACCTGCCCCCATACCTCCTCCCTCACCCCCATCCCAGGCCCCAAGAAGACTTTCCACATCAAGCAGATGTTCACCTGCACATCTGCCAATGTGGTATACTGCATCCGCTGTACCCGTTGTGGCCTCCTCTACATCGGGGAAACCAAGCGGAGGCTCGGGGACCGCTTTGCAGAACACCTACGCTTGGTTCGCAATAAACAACTGCACCTCCCAGTCGCGAACCATTTCAACTCCCCCTCCCATTCCTCAGACGACATGTCCATCCTGGGCCTCCTGCAGTGCCCCAACGATGCCACCCGAAGTTTGCAGGAACAGCAACTCATATTCCGCTTGGGAACCCTGCAGCCCAATGTGGATTTCACAAGCTTCAAAATCTCCCCTCCCCCTACCGCATCCCAAAACCAGCCCAGCTCATCCCCGCCTCCCTAACCTGTTCTTCCTCCCACCTATCCCCTCCTCCCAACTCAAGCCGCACCCCCATCTCCTACCTACTAACCTCATCCCGCCCCCTTGACCTGTCCGTCCTCCCTGCACTGACCTATCCCCTCCCTAACTCCCCACCTACACTCACCTTTACTGGCTCCATCCCCGCCTCTTCGACCTGTCTGTTTCCTCTCCACCTATCTTCTCCTCTGTCCATCTTCTATCCGCCTCCCCCTCTCTCCCTATTTATTTCAGAACCCCCTTCCCCTCCCCCATTTCTGAAGAAGGGTCTAGGCCCGAAACGTCAGCCTTTCTGCTCCTATGATGCTGCTTGGCCTGCTGTGTTCATCCAGCTCTGCACCTTGTTGTCTCACATTTTAAACAATATGTTTTGAAGAGAATTAACTTTAATTGGTGAAAAGTGGTATCAAGTTAGATGGTCTAAGGGGATTCAGATGGATTCATAATCTGCCACATTAGTAGGATGGAAGAAAGGCAATACACAGGAAGACAGATTTAATAGAAACAAGGAATCTCAATGGGTTGATTTGTAATGCTGGAGGAGGTTGTAGAGATATGATAAGTTACAATATTGAAGGAACTTATAAATGAGAATGAAAATTTGTGATTTGAATTGTTGCAAGGTCTGGACTAGATATGAAGGCCACAAGGACAGGAATGATAGTTAAAACTTAATGCGTAATAGGATGTACGGAGCGGAATTTGGGATAAGCCAAAGATCTGACAAATACAAGAATATGACATCAATCTTCCTGGAACATGTCACTGCTAATTCGAAATATTATTGAGAAATTCAAATAAATGTCAGACAGCTTCTCCATTATGCTTATGCACTTATTTCCTGTTCTCAGCTCTCCTGTCTTTCCTGACTACCTATTGCAGTTTAGAAGTATAGAAAACCAATAGCTCAGGTGATGGTCTTTTGGACCATTGTGTTTATCTTGAATGAAAAAAAGCAATCCATCATAACCCTATTTTCCAGATCTTAGTTTTCACTTCTGCCATTCTGCATCTAAGTTTTTTTTAAATTATGAGGCTATTTGTCTCCATCATCTTTTCAAAAAAAAAGTCAGACAGCTTCGCCATTATGCTAATACACTCATTTCCTGTTCGCAGCTCCACTATCTTTCCTGACTACCTATTCCCATTTAGTAATATTGAAACTGCATAGCTCAGGTGTACACATCCTTTGGGGGACAAAATTTCTTCTCAACACCCCTCTCATCTTCTATCATTGTATTAAATCTATGCACTCTGGTTATTGACTTCCTCTGTCCATTTATACTTCTCAGAACTTACCATTTACTCTACATTTCCATGACTTGTTTGCTGTCACCAATTTCATTACCTTGCACCTCTCTAGATTAAACTCATTTGCTGCTTTTCTGCCGAACTAGTTAGTTCAAGGATAGCTTTGTGTATTTTATCATTTTCTCCCTCAATAGAACTTCTCGATCAATTTTCATGTCATTCGGAAATTTCATAATTATGTACTTAAATCATTCATATTTCTCACTAGAAGCAACGAACCTCGTACTGGCCCAAGAACACATATGTTTTCTACCACTCGAACCGAACTTTGGATCTGATTTGCTGGTTTGATTTGGATCACAGAATCATATGGTAAACAATCATATCATGTAATGTCATGCTATTTTACCATGCTAAAGTCCATGTAAACTGCTGTATTAAAGGTGTTACCCTCAAACCTCTTCCTTTCTGGCAGAAAAAATTTAAATCGGCCTCATCAGACAACATCCCCTTCACAAATCCAGGCTGACTATTCTTGATTTTCAAACCATGATTTATACAGTCTCTCAGACTGTTTTGCAATCACTTGCTGGCCATCAAGCATAGGCTAACTGGTCTGCTCTTACTCAACCTATCCTTCCTTTTTTTAAATATATCTGGTGCCTTATGCCAAGTGTGTTGCATTTTATAAAGTAGTAAAACAAAATACATGTCAAAAGAAGATATAAAAGTAAACATATAAAATTCATAACAAGCTCAGGAAGAGGTAGGACGGCACGGTGGCTCAGTGGTTAGCACTGGTGCCTCACAGCTCCAGGGACCTGGGTTTGATTCCACCCTTGGGCAACTGCCTGGAGTTTGCACATTCTCCCCTGGTCTGCGTGAGTTTCCTCCAGGTGCCCCGGTTTCGTCCTACAGTCCAAAGATGTGCCGGCTAGGTGAACTGGCCATGCTAAATTGCCCATACTGTCCAGGGACATCTCAGTTAGGTGGATAGCCATGGAAAATGCAGGGTTACAGGGGTAGTGTGGGATGGTCGGTGGAGAGTCATGTGGACATATTGGGCCGAATGGCCTGTTACCACACCGCAGGCATTTTATGATTCTTATGGAAAGAGCAGAGAAAAACAAGAACCAAGTCTGGGGATGGGGTTAGGACAAAAACAAGGATTAAGTGAGAGGTCTGAAGTTCAAAATGTTGCTGGATTGCAAGGTATGCTACCATCTCATCAAGGCAACAGTTTTGACCTTAGATCAATCATATTCCACAGAGATATTCACTGTAGGACTACATATACAGAAATATAATAGCTAGAAGTGCAGTTTTTAATGTCGCCACCAGTAGTTAACAGAAAATGCCTGCTTGAAACATAACAGCATATCGTATACTATTAGGAGCAATCCATCAGCATGTTGATTGCTAAAAGAAGCCACAACAAAATAGGTCTGTATTAAACATATATAAAACTCTATTTTATGAAAATATAGAAAACCTATAGCTCAGGTGGTGGTCTTTTGAAACATATATTTTCTATATTTTCATAAAATAGAGTTGGTAGACACAAAGATGTGAATCAACTCCACTGGTTTAAAAAGTTGATAAAATGGTAACCATTTTAAAAATAAAAATACTGACCACTTCTCTCAGCTCATTAGTGGTTAAAAATTATTAACTATTGTTGCATAGTTCAATCATCAGGACAGACTCAAGAGAAATGGCTGTACATTGGTACACAGACAGAGGGAGTTATAGAATAGAATACAATAGGATAGAATAGAGTAGAATAGAATAAAATAGAATCCCTACAAGCGTAGAAGCAGGCCATTGAGTCCACACCGACCCTCCTAAGAGTATTCCACCCAGACCCGCCCCACTAACTCTATCCCTGTAACCCTGCATTTATTATGGCTAACCCACCTAGCCTGCACATCCCTGGACACTATGGTCAATTTAGCATGCCCTGTCCACCTAACCTTTACATCTTTGGACTGTGGGAGGAAACCAGAGCATCCAGAGGACACAGAGAAAACGTGCAAACTCCACACAGACAGTTGTCCAAGGGTGAAATCGAACCTGGGTGCATGGCGCTGTGAGACAGCAGTGCTAATCACCGTGCCATCGTGCCACCCCATGGTACTCACTGCCTATGAAGATGGTGGATGCAGAGAATTATTTTTCAAGAGGAAAATGAATTGCCACTTGAGGGAAACAGAATTGTAGGGTTAATCCTGTCTCAATACAGTGGGATAGACTGGATGACTTAGGAGAGACCTAAATGGAACTGGATGCTTCCTTCTGCCTTAATGACCCAGAATATACAACTGATCTAGCTTCAACCGCCATTTGCAGCAGAGAGTTCTAACTTATCCCACCTAATGTGTGGAGAAGAATTTCCAAATTCTACTCTCGAAAGGTCTGGTTCTTATTTTTAAGCTATGTTCCCTTGCCTTAGACTCCGCAATCAGCAGAAATTGTTTCTCTATTATGTTTTTCTTGAGAAAAACATTACATTTATTTTTAAATATATGTCCTCAGGAAAGTGATCTCTGCTTGTGTAGATACTTCACCAAACATACGATAATGTTCTCAGAAAAAAAAACTGAGCTGCCTTTTCATCTTATTGCACAAAACCATGAATTGTCCTTTCAGTAATCATGCCAATTAAATCTATACTTTCAAGACAAGTCTGATTGTTAAATGCAATATAAAAACAATTTAGCTACAGTACCTGATTTAGATCCGGGTGCAGAGGCTGATCGTTTCCCACCAACGCTTGCACTTGCCATTTTCTTAGCCGGTACCTTAAATGTGGAACTGGCTGATGGTCTGTTTCCATCCACAGACTCCTCATCATCAAAGCTTTTATCTTAAAAAAATGCACACAAAATATTAAGCTACAGTCAACCTTGAATATTTAGTTATAATATCTTGTTCCTGTTAAAGGAAAACAAATACCACTCACAAATGCCCTCATTTTCTCAATGACCATTCTGATTGTAAAGTGAAAATAAAAACGATACCTACCCTGGCTAAACAGCATTAATCTTGCCTTTTCTGCCCTATATATCAAACGTCTCAGCTCGGACTGGAATAAATCTGCATATCAGTCTATTGTACTGACACTTCAAATGTTGCTTTAAATGCCAAAATGTACTTGTGAAGCAAATCTTTGTTTCTGCTGCTTTTGTATGTGCTTCAGCCCATGCATCCTCCCACTTTATAGCTCTCTGCCTTTTCCACCCAGATTCTGCAACTTACAGGCACAGATCCTCTTGCAAATCAGCCGTCTCATTCCTTTTTTTAAAAAAATGCTGTCAATTCGTCTCATGCAAGTAGCTCCCAAAAGATCACATGATCAAGTGTTAGTCAATTTTCAGCAACAATCAATTCAAGTCCCTATCTCACAGTACTCGCCATGAATACAACAGAGGCTTATTCCGGCATCTTTACCCTTTCTCCCTTCACTAGGTGCTCAGCAGCCAATCAGCTAAAAGGTGACATCATCTCACATAGCCAGTGCCAGAGAGAGGTGAAAACTCCCCTTCCATATAAATCCTGTTCTCAGACACAACTGCAATTCCTTTATTGCAGATTCTACTAGATTCAACCTGGTTAGGTGAAATAAGACCCAGCACTTAAATAAAAAGGTACAGAATCTTTATGGTTTTCTACATCTTATTTTCTTTAGCCTCAATGAATTATACAGCTATTGTTACTTAATAATAAATAAAACATCTTTAAATAGAATGGCACCTTTCATTTTAAACACTAAGCTGAAATAGCTTTTCACTTTAATTTGATTAAAAAATCTTTCATAGACAGGAGCAGCAATATTGCAATTTGTAAATGCAATATTGCTGCTCCTGTCTATGAAAGATTTTTTAATCTGTTGACCTACAGCATAGCCATACTGATTTAAGAATGCAAGCATGTGCTTCAGGTTCTGTGCTCTCAAGTCAAGACATAATTACTAAATGAACAGTGTGAGACTGTGTTATTTTGCATTCAGTTTCTTGAAGTCCAATATAATGGCAACAACAACTTACCTACTTAAAGCACCTCTTATGTAATAAAACTTCCCAAAGCACTTCACAGGAACATTATTAAACAAAATATGGCATCTAGCTACATTAAGAACCATGCCAATAATCTAGTCAAAGAAAAAGATTTTAAGGAGCTTTTGGCTTTCGTAGCTCGTGGCATGTCAATCAATGATGGAGCGTTTAAAATCGCAGTTGCTCAAAGGCCACAATGAAATATGCACACATCTCAGAGAGTTGAAAGGCTGCAGGACATTACTGTGGTAGGGGTGGATGAGGCCAAAGAAGAATAGCAGACCAGAGTGAGAATTTTTCAGGTCGAGATGTTGCTTGACAGGGAGAAGTAGCTGCTACATGGTAGGTGCTCAAGAAATTGGCAGTTTTGGATGATCTCACAAGTATGAAGAGTTGAACATGTGAAACCATACAAATGAGGGTTTCAACAGCAGATGAACTGAGGCAGAGGCTAAGCCAGGTAATGTTCAGAAGGTGGAAATAAGGAGTCTTAGTAAGGTGAAAATGTGTGATTGGAAGAAGACCTCAGCAGTCAAATAAAACAACTAATATTGTAAACATTTAGTCTCAAAGTGATGCCAAGAAGAAGGATGGAGTCAGCAGCACAAATACAGTTTGGAGCACGGACTGAAGTCAGTGGTTTCAGTCTTTCAAATACTTAATGGATGAAAACTTGTTCTTATCCAGTACAGGATGTCTGATAAGCAGTCTGATAACTTAGCAACAGTGAAGGAGACACAGGAACACGGGATCTAGAGAGATTCTGATGAGATAGTGCTTGATGTTGTTAGCATCCATATGGAAACTCATACTGTGCACCTGGATGATATTGCCAAGAGCAGTACACAGACAAGGGCTGGGGGGACTGTGGAGAAGGAAGGCAAGAATAATTCTTCAGGGGACACCACAGATAATGGAACATATAATTATCAGACATCCATAACCACCACAAGTTAGACATGGACTCATGATACAGCCAATTCAGCTGTTTAGATGAGGAATACCAAAAATAGCAGATTCAGGAATACCGTCTAAGAATGAACCTAATAAAATGACAATATAATGTTATGGACTCTCTGATAGGAGTTAACCAGAGTTTCTAAAGAGATATTAGAGTTCCGCGTTTGTTACTGATACTGTATGGTAGCTGTAAAATCAAATTACTCTTAAGATGTAATTAGATGTACCTTAGATGTAATGTGACTAGCTATTAAGTAATATATAATAAACCTATATACTGCTCATCAAGACTGAACCTACCTTATGCATAAGTCGCTTAAGCATCTTTCCCTACATGGTGGACTAATAGACCAATATCAGCAAGGGGTTTGGTGGCAGAAAATCTACCCAAGACATCAGATAGTTTCAGAGAAAAAAAAAGTACATAAGAAGTTACAAAAGCAGAGAGAAGGAAGGAAAGAATTCCAGAGCTCATGCCCTAGGCAATTGTGGCTCAGGCCATCAGTGGCAAAACATTTATAACTGGGAAGAAACAAGAGCCTTACATCAGAGGAGTATGAACGTCTTGGAGGATTTGTCGCTGAAGGCAGTACAGAAAGAGAGAGGGGCTTCAGATGAGCTGATGCCAAGGGGTGTGTACAAAGGGAAATTCAGCCAGCGACTAGTAGCTGATTGACAACTAATCACAAGAAAATAGACCAATGGTAAAGGTTACTGCCTACCAACAACTATGCGATTCGCTTCCAGATAGCTAAACAGCTTAAAGCAAAATACAGTGGAAGATAGAAATCTGAAATTAAAACAGAAAGTGCCAGAAAAACTCAAATGTTGCCAAACCTGCTGAGTTTATCCAGCACGTTCCATTTTTATTATACCTGAACAGTTTGTGGGTATGAATGAGACGGTCAAAGGCCTTCTACAAGGAAGGTGTTATATTTTGGTGTGCTGTAAGAAAAAATCTGAAGCCTGAAGAAAACCAATTATTTTTCTTCAGTGGTCACTGTAAGCTGTTGCTTTAAACAATAAGTCAGATACTTTATAATAAGTATAAATAGTAAAAGTATACTTAAAAGAGCAGCAGGTACAATTAAGGGCCAAAAAGAGAATTCATTGAGACATGTGGCATGCCTGAAGTAGTAATACTTTGCATCTGTCTTAACCAAGGAGGTGGATGTTACCCAGACCGTGGTGACAGAGGATGAAACTCTGCCACTAGAAGGGTTCAAAGTTGATTAAGAGGTGTTGGATAGACCATCGGTGCTAAAATGTGGATGAGGTACCAGGACCGGATCAGATACATCCGAGGCTATTGGAGGAAGTGAGAGTAGAAATTGCAGAAGTCATAGTCATAATCCTTTAAGCTTCCCTAGACTCAGAGGACCTGTGACTAGGACTAGACTTCCCTGGACTCAGGGGACCTACCACAAGGACTAGAGAACATCCCTTGTCAGAGAAAAATGGTGCATGGATAAGTCCAGCATACAACTATACAAAATGGGAACAGAAGTAGAGCATTTGACTTACTGAAGGACAGACTCCTGCAGATCTCCACTCATTACATCCTTCCAATCAGACAAAGGTCCAGCAAGCCGGCCCATGTTGTATTCATGCCAATATAATACCACCTTTATGATGTATTAATTTCCATTATAATTTTTGATATGGAATCTTATCAATGCCTCTAGAAATCAAAATACAGTATGTTTACAGGCTCTATTTTATCCATAGTACATGTCACTTCTTCAACGAACTCCAATAAAATGGTTAAATATGATTTCCCCATTCATAAAACCATGCTGACTCATCACAGTTACCTTGAGTTTTTCTAAGTATGCAGGTTTAATCTCCTTAAAGACCAATTTTAACACCATCCCCACAACAGGTGTTAAGCTAACTGGCCTAAAATAAAACAAAGAATTGTGGGTGCTGGAAATCTGAAACACAAACAGAAAATGCAGGAGAAACTGAGCAGGTGTGGCAGCATCTGTGTAGAGAAATGTTCATCTGTAAAAAGGGTATTCTGACAAAGGTTTGCTGGACTCAAAAGGTTAGTTCTGTGCTTCTTTCTACAGATGCTGCCAGACTGAGTTTCGCCAGCATTTTCTGTTTTTTTTTAAGTTAATCGTCTTACTCTTTTCTATTCTTGCCTACTTCCCTTCTTCAATTGAGGGGTTATATTTTCTACTTGCAAGTCTGGTGAAACTTTTTCTGTTTTACGACCAGACCCCAGGTGAGGTTGCCAAATTCCTTACGATCTGAGACAGGATGTCCCAAGCTGTCAAGCTCCGGGCTTTCCTTCTATATTCACCCAGCCCCTCAGTTGGTTGCAACAATTTAAATCCCTTCACTTGTGGTTAGCCTTCTCCCAGGCCTACATGAACTTATGTTTTAAAAGAAGCCAGGCTTTCTTGTTAACTTATTTACTCAATGTGAAAAGAATTAGTAACACAATGCACATATCAGTTATTTTTAATTTGTGTACAATTACAACAAGTTTTTAAAAATATTATGTGGAGCAGTGTCCTGTTGCAGCCATATAATTGGGTTGTACCAATAGCAAGGATGTTGGCAGTTAACAGGCGATTTTCAAGATTCATGGTTTGACAGGCTGATGGAAGTTCCTTTGTCCTGATTCCTTTTGATAATAGCACCCAGAGTGAGAGAGGGTCTTATTTTACCCACAACATAAGGAGTTACTAGGGGATAGTTCTAAAACTATGAACTTCACATCACACCAGTGCTCAAACCCAGGAGAGTTCATATGAAAGCCTTAAGTCTCACTATACCCCATCATTAGAAAACTTGTTAAATGCTATCCTTGTCCATTCATCAAAGGGAAATCACCAAAATG